CTGCATGAACCAGGTCCCGGTGGCTATCGGGCTATCACACACCTGGATGTCAGCACATCCCCAGTCAAGCAGTGTCTCATCACAGCTGTTGCCCTTATCACACTTCCCACTTAGTTGTCACCCTATATACTCTTGATTAGGTCAGCATTTGTGGCTGGGCTGCACTGGTGCCTCATCTACACTGTACCCAATAACAGAATAGAAAGGGGAACTAGAATCATAAAACATCCTCCCCCTCACTTCCGCCTTGCAGGGTCACTGTTGCTGTACCCTTACACCTCGGACCTCCTCTGCCTCGATTATTGTCGCAGGCCAACCGAACCTAACCCTCTGCTCGCAGCAGTGTCGACCTCGCTCGTTGTGGAAGCATGGGCCCAGGCCCTCTCCGATCACCCCGACAAAGCATTTGCTAGATACCTTTGCCCAGGGCTACGTTTCGGCTTCCGGATTGGGTTCAGCCACAGCATCAGGCTGAAGTCTGCACCCACTAACATGGGCTCAGCAATAGAACACCCCTCAGTAGTAGCCGAATATCTGGCCAACGAGCTGGCCTTGGGGCGCTTCCTAGGTCCATTCGACAAGTCGTCTTCTCTCCCTTCTCTACACGTTGTCAGCCGGTTCGGGGTCATTCCCAAGGGCCACACTCCGGGCAAGTGGAGGCTCATCACGGATTTGTCTTTCCTGAAGGGCCACAGTGTTAACGACGGGATTGATCCCACCCTCTGCTCTCTCATGTACTCCACAGTAGATGATGTTGCACACTTGGTCAATACCCTCGGTCTGGGTGCTCTCCTCGCAAAAATCGACATAGAGTCAGCTTACCTACTTACCCCAGTTCACCCGGATGACCGCCCCCTTCTGGCTGTTCAATGGGACGGCCAGCTCTATGTGGACCCCATGCTGCCATTCGGTCTCAGATCGGCACCCAAGATATTTAATGCGGTGGCCGTCGCACTCGAGTGGCACTTGAACCAAGCTGGGATACCTCTGATCTGACACTACCTTGGACGATTTTATTATAATCGGCCCTCCGGGCTCCCCTCAGTGTGCACAATCACTGGCAATTTTGGACTGCGAGTGCCAGGCTCTGAGTGTCCCAATCGCTGCACACAAGCGAGATGGCCCCACCACGTGCCTGGTCTACCTGGGTATAGTGATCAACACCGCCAAGGGTATACTCCGGCTTCCAGACGACAAGCTTGACTGCCACAGCAAGCTCCTCCGTGAATGGGGCAGCAGACGGGCATGCACCCATAAGGAACTGGAGTAGCTTGTGGGGTCTCTGAATCATGCCTGTAAGGTCGTGCGCTCTGGCCGAGCCTTCCTTAGACGTATGCTGGACCTGTTGCATTCGGTAAAGGGCCCCCGGATTCACCAGTGCCGATCCGGCTCAACGCAGCCTTCCGGGCCGACCTAGCATGGTGGCGCGAGTTCCTCCATGACTGGAATGGTGTCGCCTTTCTATTCCGGCTACCGAAGGTAGAGATGACATCCGACACCTCAGGCTCGTGGGGCTGTGGGGCCTGCACCGCCAAGCATGGTTCCAGATCCAGTGGGACCAATACTCATCACCTCTGTCGATTCCAGAGAAGGAACTGATCCCAATTCTCCTCGGCTGCGCAGCCTGGGGCACAGACTGGGCCGGCCACCAAGTAATTTGTCATAGCGACAACCAGGTGGTAGTGTCCTGCCTCAAATCGCACACGAGCAAGCACAAGGGCATCATGTACCTCATTAGGTGCCCTGTGTTAATCGTCTCCTGTGTCATTCCTCTCGAAGGTCCCAGACGCCCACAAAGACCCAATGCCTACGTCTCCCCTGATCCTGGAGCTGCTACTAGATCAACGAGCCGACTGGACCTCTCCGACTTGGCACCCTCGGTTCAGCTATTTTCGCAGTGGCCTAGCGTCCTCCACCCAGTCCTCATACAAAGCTGGACATAAAACGGTTCTATGACTTTTGTGTGCGTTACAACATCCCAACACCCTTCCCTGTTACTGAGCAGATTCTGTGCTACTTTCTCGCATTCCTCGCAGACCAGGGCCTGGCACCCAAACCCAGTCAGTCGTATCTGTCTGCAGTCTGCAGCATGCAGATTTCTCTCGGGTTTCCAGACCCCAGAGATCCTTCATCCATGCCCATTCTGAAGAGGGTACAAGCGGGAATCCGTCGCGTCAGAGCCTCCAAGGATCATCGTCTCGTGTTCACCCTATAACCCCAGCAATGCTCCTTCGAATTCACCAGCATCTCCTGATGTCATCACATCCGCATCGTCTCCTATTGTGGGCAATATCAGCCTCAGCAATCTTTGGCTTTTTTGTCTCAGAGAACTCCTACCCAGCTCCGCTGTCTTCGACAGTGCTATTCATCTAGCATGGGGCGACGCTGCCGTCGATTGCACTGCCGGGTCAAACATGATCCAGAATCACCCTGCTGCCCCGTGGCAGCATTACTGGAGCATATCACAGCTCGTTTTTCGTAACCACTTCGGGGCAACCTGCCACATAACCTTGGTTCATCGCCCAGCTCCGGGCCATTTTGGCAGCAATAGGCTTAGCCATCATCAGTATACCGGACATAGCTTTCGGATTGGGGCAGCCACGACGGCGGCCCTGGCAGGCATCACGGATTCAACAATCCAAGCTCTTGGCCGTTGGCACAGCGCGGCATTCCTTCAATATTATTTGGATGCCAAAAGGTACTCATCATTATCCCCAAAACAGGCGGATAGTAGTTTCAAGGGGCCATGTGAACTACTGGCGATAAAGGCATCGCATATGTCAGCGAGCATTGCATACCGATCGCGATCGAGAACAATCAGCCTGTCACGTGCCCCCAGCGTAGTTTAGTCCAGCCCAGCGCCCACCGAAGGTAGAGAAGGGAGGTGTTAGGCTCCCTTTGCTGAATGGACTAGAGTTACGCGTTCTAAATAAACGCTGGAAGCGAGGGACCTACGTAAGAGGGCGGAGCTGTGGTGTCCCGAGCGCAGCGGGGGCACTACATCGCTGGGTTTCTGAATATAGGTTAGATGCTGGCGAGAACAATGCCAAGGTACTTGTAGGTAGTTCCAAATTCCATTTCCATGTGATTGAATAGGAACGGGGCATGGCAATAAGATCGATTCTTGTAGAACACCACAACCTTTGTTTTATCATGTTTTTTTCATTTCCAAGCCTGGCAATACTCACTCAGTCTGTCTAAGGTGTCTTGTAGACCTTGACGTGAATCTGCCAATAGCATCAAGTCATCTGCGAAAAGCATTATATTTATAGCTGCACTTTGAGGTTGGTAAGTGTTATGCTGCCAGCCCTGTTTGATGATAGATGCGATTCTATGTCACTAATGAATAGGCTGAATAGGAGTGGACTTAGGTTACATCCTTGTCTCACTCCTTTAGAACAGGGGAACAAAGAGGAAAGTTTGTTTTTTACTGCAACTCTCGAGGATGCTTTTGTGTACATTGATATTAGTATTCTGATTATCTTTGTGCTTACACCCATTGAGGCTAGTTTCTCCCAAAGTAGTTGGTGATTAACCGAGTCAAATGCTTTTGCAAAATCTACAAAACACGCAAACAGTGGCTTATTTCTCTTCTTGTGTGATTGAATCGCTGTGGTGATTGCATCAGTAGTTTGTCTTGCTGGTCTAAAACCAAACTGTGCTTCGCCAAGTTTATTGTTATGCTCAGCCCAGTAGAAAAGCCTGTCTCTTAGGATTGCCGTAAATAATTTCCCCATTACGGGGAGCAGTGTTATTCCCCTGTAATTGGATGGACATTTCTTATCTCCTTTCTTCAGTATTGGTTTAATTATACCTAAGCTCCAAGCATCCGGATATGATTCTTCCTCAAGTAACTTGTTAAACAGAGCCGTTGTAAACATTATAAGTTTAAGTTTAAACACTAACGGAGGGATGGCATCTATACCTGGAGCTTTATTCTTTTTTAACGTGTTTAGAGCAGCTGTAATTTCACTTTCGATCATAGGTTCGTCAAGAATGGGGACAATGATGTAACTGGTGGATTGCAGTATGTATTATCAGTGTTGTTATCCAGAAGGGACTTGAAATAGGCTCCAAGTTCCTCCACGGGGATAGTTATATCGAGATCCTTAGACTGATTGGTAGCCCTATCGACAAGCTTCAAGAATTCGCGAGGGTTATTTATTTTGCACTTTTTTAGCTCGTTATGTAATAAGATCGTTGCTTGACGTTTTTTCTTCCTGGTCAGTGATTTATATGCCCTCCTTTCTTGCCAGAAATGTTGATACAGCACTGTGTTTTCTGAATCCATCTGGAGTAGTCTAGCACTTTTCTTGAAACATCTCTTTGCTATCTTACACTCATCGTCGAACCATTTATTACACGGAAATTTGTTTTTAGCTGAGTGACAATGCTGTTACCTTTCTATTTCTTTAATTGACTCCTGGATCAAGCGTGTGAAATTATGCACACAATCATTAGCCGGTCGGTTCTGAAGATCGATTTCAAGAAGTTCCAGATTCCTGATGAAAATAGTTTGCATAAACTTTTGCATTCGTTACCCTCATTGATGGTAGGGTTTCTTTCATTTCAGAGACAAGTAATCTAGTAGAAGTTGGGTGTAACTCCTCCCTTCCTGGGATATCCTGTTTCTAAATTCGGGTTTTGGCTCGGTACTGGCAACGCCTTGTGGGGATGAATCTCATTAGTTCAGAACCACAAGCGCTGCGCCTGAGCAAAGCCTTGTGGGGATGAATCTCATTAGTTCAAAACCACAAGTGCTGCGCTCAACTTTGCCTTTATAAACTCGTGATGGCAGAGAGAGAAGTTGCGGTATGCTTTGCTGATGAGGGCTAACAAGCCTGAAACAGCAGAGCTCCGCATCTTTTTTCTCTTGGCATCACATGGTCTATCAGAGCGTCGGTAGACGCTCTATATAGGGATGACACGCGAGTGAAATCTCACGTGATCCGTGTACAAAACGCCTCAAAACTCAGCGAGAATTACTCACCATGGCTTTAAAATCACTAGCAATAGTCTAGAGGCCAATACCTAGCTATACATATGTCCCAAGACTTCCTACTCCTCAGATTTTCGTACTTTAGCACCACTTTCCTATCTGTATAATTATATAAACATTAGAGCTGTTGGGGAACATTAGTGGTTGCAATAATACCTGAACAGTCACCCTCTTTCTTCACCTCAATGTTCATACACTTCATCTTGAGGTCGACAATGGTCACGGCGCAGCTCTGCAGGTTGCATTTCCTCGCAAACTTCCGGCGAAGATTCTCGACGTCTCTGAGATACTTGGGCGGAGGCTCCCAGTTGAGTTTCTTGACATGCTTAACGAATCCCGGCGGAGGGTCACCCTCTTTCTCCACCTCAATGTCGGGGATTCTGCAGAAGGCTGCCAGCGGTGTTTGGTCAACGAAAGCAACCAACATTTCATGATAGTCTTTCGCGGCTTGTTCTACGTCGCCGGTTAGCGAGAGCTCTCTGACGAGAGGATGATAAATTTCGGGATGCAGGTAATCCCAGTTGCAGCAGAGGCGGTCGAAGAGTGCGGGGACACTTCGAGACTCACGCAGGTGGTCAGTGAACTCCATGAAGTATGCCTTATCACGCTCTCCACGAACGAGCCCTCGAATGGCATCAACGACACTGTCCACATCTATTCCTCTACCTTCGATTGCTACACAGATGCGTCGTATGAGCTGTGCAAAGCTACTCCTCAGATTTTCGTAGTTTAGCACCACTTTCCTATCTGTATAAATATAAACATTAGAGCTGTCGGGGAACATTAGTGGTTGTGTAAATAATACCTGAACAGTGGGTCTCTCTGATTCTATTGGCTAATTCAGGCAAACCGACAAACTTGTCATTCAGTGCAGTAGCAATGCCCTCCCACGACGGCTTGGGGTTCATCAACTTCATATACTCCTCCAGTGTTTTCAGGAGGCGATCATCTGGACTCCGGATTTCTGAATTAATCCTCTTCCTCGTGGTGGCTGGGAGGTTCAGCTTTAACCCCAGGGCAAAGGCCTTCTTTTTGGCTTCTTTTATCTCTTCGAAAACCTCCTTGGCATCCATTGTGGTATCACCAGCCCCTGGATAAAATAACAATATATACCATAATTACCACAAAAATCAGCACACTCTTCATCCACGTAAAATTTACCCCTGCATACCAGAGTTAGTGCTATTTTGTTGCTGGTTTTCGTTTCTTGGACCTTGACACTCCACATCTGCATATAATAGTAACATGCAAGTATCATGGCCAGGCAAACTATGGTACGGCGTCACCATTTTCTGAGGGAACCCTCAACAGTTCCAATTCATCTGGATCTACAGTGGCATAGATATACAGACACTTTATATGTGTCTATAATATCTATGACAGTTGTCCAATGCAAAAACAAACACAAATACCTTTTCCGACAGATGTTAGAAGTTTTCTTGCGATATTTCGTCCGCCACCACTACATTCAGCCACAGCCTTGGCCAGTGCCTCCCAACTGAGGTCATCTCCATTGCGTAAGAACTCATCAACCACTTCTTGCAAACACTCGTCTGAAGTCGAGAAGTCTGCTCCAATGGCCTTCAGGTCTGCTGCTGGTGTGAGTCGCTGCCCCAGCCCTCTCCATTTGGCCGAAGAGAGTCCTGCTGCGCGCAGTCTGTCCACCACCTCAAATGCTCTAAGTTCTGTTATGCCTATAAGTATACATTAGAAGTTTAGTGTTTTCATGTAACATCCTCGGTATAGCTAGCTAGCTACTAGTAAGATCGCCACGTGCGGCAACGCCAAAGCCACTTGGGATCACTTTATAAGGCTAAGGAGATCGAGTTAACTATATACCTCTGATATCTGCAGAAGACGACATAGTTATAGGTAACTTCAGCAAGACATCGCTGTACTGTGTGTAGGTATAATTATAATATAGAACTGCCCGCAACCCGGCCCCGCCCCCAGCCGCGTGTTACATATGTCCGTAACTTTTTGCGCATGCGTATTTGTAATTTCATTACGTGATCTGCTCAGAAAAAACAAACACAGCTCTACTTTAAATAATCCACACATTACAATAGCTTGCAGATCCTATATAGCACATTGTGACAATGATACAGGATGTGGAGGTGTTTGTGTGACTGCAGGATAGAGTAAGAGATAGTTCTAGTGGTATGATATGGCGGACACCCTGTCAACCAGCGTCTCGAGATGAAATGGAACCACTGCTACATCTTCTCAATGTAGTTGTTGGGGAACAGTCCTTCCCTGCCCTTTATTTTACCTTTCCACCACCCCGATGGATCTGTGGAGGACATGTATATACTACAATCATGAACACATTGTTCCTCCTTTTTTACAAAGCTGTAGGACCATTGGTTAAAAGGCTTTTACCGACGGTGAGAAATAGGGGGGGAAATACACGTAATAATATGTTTTTTAATTCATAAAACCAAACCAAAACTTGCGTCCACACTCACACAAAATGGACACACACAGGCTACACACTCATTTAGAAGTTAAAAAAAAACCTACTAAGACACATACATAGATATAGTTCCTAATAGAGTGTGGCTCTAAGGGGTGTGGCTCTAAGGGGTGTGGCTCTAACCTTCTTTGGTGATTTCGATGATGTCACCTTCTTTGAATGTGAGTTCGTCAGTGTCTGTGGCGTCGTAGTCGTAGATGGCCTTGCAGAGAGGCAAGTTGGGCTTGGGGGCCGGTGGAGGCTTCTTGGTTCGCGCTTTGGGTGGAGGACGAGTCCTGCATTGAAGGATCGAGTAGGTGCTTTCAATGATTAACGAAACTAACTACGAAAACCATATAATATTCTATAGCCTCAAGACTATATATACCATTCCTAACTTGTAGTAGTCCCTGCAGTTACACACAAGGCCTGCGCGGGGTGCTTCATGCCAGTTCATTAATTTCGCACATTACTATATAGACAGCTTTGTAAAAGTGATCAGTTTCTACACAATTTTACAGGCGGTTCAGGCAGTTTGCTTTTAAAGTCGCATGCAATGGTAGTAATTATAGATACAGAATCAGCATGAGTAGTGGGCAATGCAGTAATGAGCAACGCACACAAAAAGAGTCGAGTGCGCTTTGTTCAACATCATTTAAAGTGCTCTAGCTAGTCCAGCAACGTACCCTCCTCCCTGAGGAGTTTTCATAAAATCAGCCTTGGAGTAGTCACTGCTGCTCCCAGTGCGGGCCTTGTTGCGAGCTCCCTTGGGATTCAGCTTCGGCTGGTGACCTCGGTTGGTGAAACTTCCCCTACCCGATGTCCTCCGTACCCCCTGGGACGGCTGTGGAAGAATACGCAATGTTGTGATCACTGTCGTGGGTGTGTCTGGAAAAGTTTGGTGATGCATTGCTATCACTCGCCACACAATGGGTGGTTCCAAAACTTCTTCTTCGAGAAAGTTGCCTGCTACAGTAGCATGAACTAAAGATGTCAGCACGTGCAATGGGGTATCTATATATGCAACACACACAAACTGACTCTCTACCCACATGTGATGAAGGTCTAGCAATTTTCTTGGTTTTCTTGGTTATGGACCTTACACGGACTTCAATATTGCACACTCAAACAAACACGTGTGTTAAAGCTTTCGAAATAGCTCAGGAGTACTTACGTAAAGGTATCACGTGACTGAGCTACTGTATATGTCATAGTCCAACGTGTGATATAATAATTATACAAATACCTGTTTGTAAGCAGACTTAGCAGGAGAAGAGTATGCGTTGTGTGGAGCAGCTCTGGCTGGACTTCTTCCTTTCCCCCTCCCTCCTCCTCCTCCTCTCGACTTACCTGGTCTCTCGTGGGACGGCTCTGTGGGCGGGGGGTACGCAAGCATGCTAAATCATAATTGGTGAGGAATGTGTTTCGAAATACGCGAAAAATAAACTGCTCGCACTCGCTCACCAAGCATGCGTGGCATTCTTTCTATTAGCATAGCACTGATAAGCTGAACAATAGTGTACTATATAGTAAAGGACACCTCTCTCTTTTAGCTCTGCCCTTACTAATGCATTAGTGTACATTTTACCTCTGAATAAGAGACAACTCCGATTCAGAGGTTAAACTATAACCACTGGCAAACCGGGTACAGTTAACCTTTCGATAGCTCCGTACTCAGTGGCAAAACAAGTGAGAGTTGACCTATGTGTAATACACATGGCTATAAGTACATACTGGTACTGGGAGGTAGCCCAGGGCCAACAGCGACGTTGAGAGTCTTTCCAGAAGGTTTGATGAAGGCGGCGTCACCCTGACCGCTGTTACTGAACTGGAGCTGTCTCGTACCTCCACCTCCAAACCCCTCCTTCTTCACCGTGAACGTCAGACTAGACACAAGACAGAGAATGGGAGAGAAGGTTTGGTGAAAAGCACTACATACAGACCACAGTTATAATATGGAAATTTTGTATGGCAATTTTTACTAGCCATGTGTTAATTAGTGCATAGCTCATTTGAATCGAGCAATTTGATTGGTAAATACAAAGTTTCTGATTTTGCCTAGCAACTTGTTTTGAATGTGAATGTTCAAAAACACATGGTAAGAAATCCTCGAGTTTCTGAATTTACGTAGTCTAACCTATATATATATAGCAAGAAAACTCACCGTCTGTCGAAGGAGACTTGCAGAGTTCCCTGAGTGAGGGACTTGAACTTCTCGGCGAGGAGAGTGAGGAACTCTGTCTTGAGCGGAGTCTCCATGACCGAGTCGTAGTCGTTCACCACGTGGAGCACGACAAAGTCGTCCTGGTAGGGACTGGGGGAGGGGTGAGGAGGGGGAGGTGGGAGGAAATGAGAGAGCAAGGCTAGGCTTACAATATTATGTCGCATTGCCCTGTCGTGCCGTGCCGCGTCACGTCCTGCTGCAAAGATGGAAATGGATCCCATCCTCCTCACGGCAGCGCGGCGTGATGCGACAGGGCAATGTGACACCTAGCCTAAAGCTGTCAGTGTGTATGTTTGAAACTTTGCATGCTCACATATACACACAAATTTTGCCTCCCAACAGCTGGGAAAGCAGCCGTAAAGGTTTGAGACATTGTGCAAGCAAGACCTATGGGATGCCAGCAAAAGATCAATAGACACAGTACTACCTGGCAAGGATTCGTTCACACTAGGCTATATGTATAGAGTGAGACTATGGCTAGTAGTACCTGAGAGAGGCCCCACGGACTTGATCCAGTGGAATCTTCCTCTTGATCACCTCCACAAACTGACCCTTCATTGGACCCTTCTTGATCTGTGTGTGATGACACCATACACGTCATAATACAGTGGTTGCAGCAAATCAGTGGTCGTATAGTTAGTTCAGCAAATCAGTGGTCGTATAGTTTTATATCCCTACCTTTTCTCTCCCGATGAGGTAGACATGGGATGGCGAGAGAAGCAAATCTCTCTTTTGTGTCTGCAACGAACACAAACACAGGGTATTTAAAATGGCACCACCGACATACACATACACACCTGCATATTACTAACATCCTGCGACCTACGTAGCTAAAATAGCCAGTATGTCAATACCCAACCCTGCTACACAACATCTTGCAACCTACATAGCTACGTAAATAGCCAGTATGTCAATACCCAACACTGCTACACAACATCTTGCAACCTACATAGCTACATAGCATAAATACCCAACCCTGCTATAGCATTACGTAATGATCTGCTGACCTTGAACCTCCTGTCGTACTTTGTGACCGTCTGTGAAAACTCTATCCTCTCCCGTTTGCCTACGTACAGGAAACAGGAGCACATTATGCACACACATGTAAACCAACAGCAGCTAAATACGTCATAGAAAAGAGGTGAGTGGAGTACAAAATGTAGGTGATTGCATCACCGCTGCATGCATGTGTATACTTTTCCTATGCTGACACCACAGCGAGCATGTGCGTGTGTGAGTGTGTGATTGATTTATACCAACGAGTGCGCGAAGTGAGGGGTTGTCAATAAAACCGAGATAGTCTCCTACAAAGTTCCTATTGATGCTCAGCCTCTTCCTCTCCTTCTTGTTGAGCAAGATGTCTGACGCTGGGGGTTAGGATCGAGAGAGAGAGAGAGAGAGAGAGAGAGGAGGGAGGGAGGGAGGGAGGGAGAGGGAAGAGGAGAGTTAAACTGATTGTAGCATTATAAAAGAGCAAAATTTAGACTATTACTAAAAAATGAGAGACTATTGCTACCGAATTTTGCACAATGAAAAGATACACACGAGGAAATTACATGTAAGTCAAAAGGAACAACAAAAAATGAAGGGAGAGAGGGAGAAGGAGGGAGAGAGGGAGGGAGGGAGAAGGAGGGAGGGAGGAGGAGCGAGTGCTTTCGTGCCGCTGCTGTCCGACTTTGCTCTCCTGTCTTCTCTCTGTTCTCGTCACGTCGTTTCTCGTTGTCTTTACTTTCTCCGTCTTTCTCTCTTTCTCCTTCTTCTGGCTTCTCTTGACTGTATCTACCGTCTTTCGATAGGCTAACTGTCGGTTCTTGAGGGGCGCTCACCTTTCTGTTTGAGTTCGAAGAAGAACTGATCAGATTTGTACCTCCGCCAGGCCTTCTGGATCTTGCGGGCAAAGCCGTCGTATTTCCTCTCTCTCAGCTCCTCCAGTAGAAACAACTACAGAGGAGAGATTGTCTCTCAAATAGTCCACAGAATCAAACTTTATGCATGCACGTACAGAAAAACGGACACTTGGTTCTGTCCAAATAAGGGACTCTTCTGACTAATACTGTATCGGAGTTGCACATGGTTGGCACCAGAGCGCACCAAGGGGCCATAATCCCTCTATCTCTTCATTCGTCCCCCGGACACGGTGCAATTTTCACGTGGCCAAACAACGCAGGATGTAATGCAATTAGGCGGGTGTAACTCACCGACTCTGGGCTCTTGATGAAGACTTTGGTCTTCCCGAGCTGCCATTGGTCGGGCTCCATGTTGACGGCCTGCATCAGGTGTTTGATGCCCTCTACCACCGTTCCCCTCCAATGGGGGTACGTCTCTGGAGTCAGTAGAGCGTACCTGCGAACAACACGCACACACATAGGTTAGGTTAATAGAATTAATTCAGAATGGTTGCTTGGTTCGCATCTCCTTATATAGGCCATCCAGGTTCTGGGGTTTAGCGTGATGGTTGGTGTTGTGTCCATGCGCATGCTAAAACTGAGTCCAACTAAACTGAATACCTTGTTCTACGTTCATAGCTGGGGGGGTATAATGTGAGCAAGAGAGCGACAGACCTGCAAACCATCTCTGAATATACTGTAACTACTGTAATCATCAGGTGTGACTGTATTATATGTGACGTTTGTATTAGAGAGAGAGAGAGAAGACTACAGCCAGCTCGGGGGTATTATACAAATTCTCGTTAGGTGTGATTGTGAACAACGGGTACATGTGACATTGTAGAGAGACTGAGAGAGTAAGTCCAGTGGGTTTAAGGGGCTGACCGTCTGAGGAACTTGTTGAAATCTCTGCGGTAGGCAAAGCCAGCTCTCCTGACTCTGATGTTCTCCTTCAGTCCCAGATACTCTACCTGGTGCTTCACTCTGACCAATACGAGAGAGAGGGGAGGGGGGGAGGGAGGGAGGGAGGGGAAGAGTAGAAGATGAAAGAATCACAACTTTATTAACGTACACATCAACAATTGTGCCTTCAAGATACACAGAGCAAGCGCTGACCCGCTCGAGGTAAGCCTGTTCTAATTAGCATATTGGCTTTTTCGCTCGTTTTTTATGCCATAACTCCCGAACGCAGCAGTTTCAGAGAAAACCCCACATATTTTCGACCTTTATCCGACGCTGAATACGTGGTATTGTTTGTAGAGCGATTGATGGCTCGTGCACTAACAGCCAGAGAGACACGATAACTACAGTAACCCTCGCTGCGCATGCGTGCCGAGTATTAATTAAAAAGTCCAGTCAATGTACTGTACATACCTGTCATTCTCCCAGTCGTGTATCGACTCCCGCATGCTATGTACTACTGTAGCTAGTCCGTGTCAGACTCTCCGCGAGCTACTAGCGGGGAGACCACGAGTAAACGCATACTAATGAATATGAACCCACGTAATGTATAGTAGTTTCCAAAGACTGGTCAATGTACATACCTGTCATTCTCCCAGTCGTGAGCTCTCTTTGTCTCGTTGGGTTTGATGCAGCGAATGTAGTGGGGAGTACACAACATCAGCTTCTCCACAGCTCATTGGCCGCCGTCTGGAAGTAAGGTAGAGAAGGGGAGGGGGCAATGGGTTACTGGCAGTACACTATTGAGCTGATCAAAATCATGCAGCTCATTGGCCTGCGTCTGGAAATAAGGAAGAGAAGGGGAGGGGGGTATGGGTTACTGGCAGTACACTATTGAGCTGATCAAATCATGCAGCTCATTGGCCTGCGTCTGGAAGTAAGTAGAGAAGGGGAGGGGGGCAATGGGTTACTGGCAGTACACTATTGAGCTGATCAAAATCATGCAGCTCATTGGCCTGCGTCTGGAAGTAAGGAAGAGAAGGGGAGGGGGTATGGGTTACTGGCAGTACACTATTGAGCTGATCAAAATCATGCAGCTCATTGGCCTGCGTCTGGAAGTAAGTTAGAGAAGGGGAGGGGGCAATGGGTTACTGGCAGTACACTATTGAGCTGATCAAAATCATGCAGCTCATTGGCCTGCGTCTGGAAGTAAGGTAGAGAAGGGGAGGGGGCAATGGGTTACTGGCAGTACACTATTGAGATGATCAAAATCGTGCAACTCATTGGCCTGCGTCTGGAAGTAAGGTAGAGAAGGGGAGGGGGCAATGGGTTACTGGCAGTACACTATTGAGATGATCAAAATCGTGCAGCTCATTGGCCTGCGTCTGGAAGTAAGGTAGAGAAGGGGAGGGGGCAATGGGTTACTGGCAGTACACTATTGAGCTGATCAAAATCGTGCAACTCAACGGTAGGTTCTAGGTATAAGCCATCGCGAAAATACAACACCTCGTGTCTCATTCCCATTCTGTTATAATTCATGACATTGTTATATAACTCAATGCATGCTAGCATTAAAACTTGTGTTCAGGGTACCGTATGGTGACCGAGAGAACACTATCCCTCCACTTACTCTGATTTTACTGCCGACAGTGGTAGGTCTTCCTTTCTTGTCAGCTTTAATGTCATCAGGGAACAGGGAACGGATGAAAGCACTGCATGTGTGGCGGAGAAGAGCACAGTGATGGTTTGATACAGTCAGGCCCCAGCCTTATCCCATATTATGACGAGAGAGAAAAATTTGCCATTTTGCGAAAGTTTTCACTTCAAAAAAAACTTGCAATGCATCTATTGAAGGATCCAACGACATGGACCGGTAGCACATGAGACAGCTTTGGTGTATACATAATTACAATAGAGCTGCTGTGTGAATTGCTACATTGCCATTATCAGAATCATGTGGAGTCGGGATAGGAGGAGTTACAATGTAGACCTACATGACTCACGTTTTACTTAGATAGAAATGAAGTAGAGAAAAAGGAACAGGACTGACTGCAAGAAGACGTCAACATGTAGTGTTTGATGCCCGTGACTCACTTGGTGCTGCCCTGCATGAGTTCGATACAATCCCTAAAGAGGACGTCTCTGTTCTTGTCAGAGAACCCCTCGGCCTCGTAGGTGACCTTCCCAGGCGTAGTGTTGGATGGTGAACCCAGCCGCAAACCCCACGTAGTGTTCGTTGCCGGGCAACTGGACCTGTGTTAGTTTCTGAGAGGGAGAGGGGACAGAGATAAATTGAGTAGAGTGAGGCACAGGAGGAGAGGGGAGGGGAGAGACAGGTAGAAAGGTTGGGAAGGTAGAGAGGCGAGGAGAGCAAGTGAAAGATTAGAAAGTACAGCAACATTCTAGAAACAAAGGTCTTAAACAGAGATAAATTGAGGCACAGGAGGAGAGGGGAGGGGAGAGACAGGTAGAAAGGTTAGGAAGGTAGAGAGGCGAGGAGACCAAGTGAAAGATTAGAAAGTACAGCAACATTCTAGAAACAAAGGTCTTAAACAGAGATAAATTGAGGCACAGGAGGAGAGGGGAGGGGAGAGACAGGTAGAAAGGTTAGGAAGGTAGAGAGGGCGAGGAGACCAAGTGAAAGATTAGAAAGTACAGCAACATTCTAGAAACAGAAGGTCTTAAACCAGAGATAAATTGAGGCACAGGAGGATGGAGGGGGAGGGGAGAGAGGACAGGTAGAAAGGTAGGAAGGTAGAGAGGCGAGGAGACCAAGTGAAAGATTAGAAAGTACAGCAACATTCTAGAAACAAAGGTCTTAACAGAGATAAATGAGGCAACAGGGAGGAGAGGGGAGGGAGAGACAGGTAGAAAGGTTAGGAAGGTAGAGAGGCGAGGAGAGCAAGTGAAAGATTAGAAAGTACAGCAACATTCTAGAAACAAAGGTCTTAAACAGAGATAAATTGAGGCACAGGAGGAGAGGGGAGGGGAGAGACAGGTAGAAAGGTTGGGAAGGTAGAGAGGCGAGGAGAGCAAGTGAAAGATCTAGAAAGTACAGCAACATTCTAGAAACAAAGGTCTTAAACAGAGATAAATTGAGGCACAGGAGGAGAGGGAGGGGAGAGAGACAGGTAGAAGGTTGGAAGGAAGGTAGAGAGGCGAGGAGAGCAGTGAAGATTTAGAAAGTACAGGCAACATTCTAGAAACAGAAGGTCTTAAACAGAGATAAATTGAGGCAGGAGAGAGGAGGAGAGGGGAGGGGAGAGACAGGTAGAAAGGTTAGGAAGGTAGAGAGGCGAGGAGAGCAAGTGAAAGATTAGAAAGTACAGCAACATTCTAGAAACAAAGGTCTTCATTAGTGAGAGAAGCAAGCCTACCTAGTCATCTGATTTGATCATATCTATTCGACGCCTTCACAATAGAGTACACAGATACTAAATTAAGCATGAAATTTACGTTACCTCTAGCAGTTTCCCATCAGCTCCCTCAGACTGGCCGTGCATCTGGAAACATATGTCATCCAGGACTGCGAATATCCCTGGAGGTCGCTGCATGTGCGTACGGAATAGACAGCACACCGTCACATAACGTCACCGTGATCGACCCATTAATGCTTGCTGTGAGGTGCTCCACGTACAGTGAATATAGTCCCTACTCTTACCATATAGAATACTTGACCTACTGTTACTGAATAGAAGTGGTAGTCTGGCGTTCTTCAAGCGAAGGTAGCGGGTTAACATCCCACATGCGCTTCCCATGTCTATTTTTTATCTCATTAATTATTCATTGTGTAAAGTGGCCCACCGCATGAAATTGTCTGTTCGTCACATTACCTTGCTCTCGATGAGTTCGCAGACAATCCTGTTGTTGAAGTAGTCTATGGGTACCCATTTGATGCCCTCCTGCACATACTCCTCCTGCTCTGCCTTGAGAGTCAGCTGGATGAAGATCTGCTGCAGCTTCTCGTTCACAAAGTTGATACAGAACTGCTCAAACCCGTTTTTCTATATAGGGGAAACAAAACGATTATACAGTTTACACCTCAATTGTACATTATTGTTGATGATGTAATACACATGTATTAGTTGCTGCCTGGGCCCGAGTGCCACATGGGATATATTGGCACAGTTGTGACGTAATGCCCGAGGGCCGTTCAGAGTGGGGCACACTGTTTTTACTCTAGCAGGCAAAAACATACTTACGTATGACATACTGTTGTATGGTCTAAATTTAACAAACAGATCAGCAAATTTTGCAAACATTTTCCATGTACGTAAAAGATTTCAGCTACACATGTCTACTATAGTGAAATTATAGTGAAATTTCCTTTTTCACTGACATAATGCTCGTGGATTGAGATCATATACATGCGAGGTTTGAGGTTTGTCTTTGTGTTATGTTGTGTTATAGATTCGAACCCCTACCAGCTCAGTTGCCCTGGTAGCTCAGTTGGTAGTAAGAGCGCTCGCCTAGACCGCAGAGTGTCGTGGGTTCAAATCCCACTCAGGACAGCTCCTTCTTTTCTTTGAAAAGAAGGAGCTGTCCTGGGTGTAGTTGACTTGTTTGCCTTGCCCTGCCATTCTACCTCGTTACCAAGTTGTTGAGACATGCATACAAAGCCAGTCATTTCTTAACTACGCACCTGGAGCAATCGCTAAACCCATACTACGCCACCTATGAAACTGTACATAACATAGTCTCCATCACTGAACAGCACCAGCACACAACATACACAGCAGACACGACTACGTACCATGAAAATCTCAAAGCCATAGATGTCCAGTACTCCAACTGTCAGTTCCTCTTTGTGCTTCTGCATGGCTTTATTGATGGTCTGCAGAAAACCATCGATATATTAGCTACTGACACATGGTGTATTAGATGATGGTATGCCACTGCGACGTAATGAGGTGCTTTAATCACGCACCAGTGTCACTGGCTGTTGATATAACACTCGGGACAGAAGCTTTTTTATTGGCATGCGCAAAACTTTAACTCTTAATAAAATTCGACCTACCAAAAGAACCGCCATTTACATACCTGTACAAGCCAGTCAAAGAGCCTGGCATAGAGGGACTTGGAGAGAGCGTCTCTGGTGTATGTGGCCTGCTCCACGTTGAGCTTCATCTGGATGATTTCCGACTTGCTGCCCCACTTGCTCTCTACCACCCTCCCCGTTAGCTTGTCTCTCAGGCTGTCTGCCTCCACTCCCAGGAGATAGGCCGGGAACTGGAGGACTGCGTGAGGAGAGAGAGAGGGGGGAGGGAGGGAGGGAGGGAGAGAGAGGGAGAGATGGTTGAAATGGAGACTAAGGAGTAGATTGTGGCATGCAGATCGTATGGACCACCAAATGTGTATAAGTTCAACTCATGAATATCAAACTTTTCTTATTCTGTATGCAGAGTAAGGGTCACCCCTCTAAGTAACAGAAAGCACAAACTAATGTTCAAAAAAAGACTCATGTATTTGCAACATTCGCGATTACGCTAAATATTTGGCAGTATCCCACGACCAATTTAGCTCCTTACAGGTGTTATAAAATTCTTAGGAAAAAAATTTCGTGGACAGTTAAAAAATTTTGGTTTCTAGCCAATATTATATTATTAGCACTTACATCCGTCATCCTCAGGGATGGCGTAGTTTCCCTCCTCGGTGAAGGAAATGTTGCCAAGATGAAGAATCCCAGCCACAATGTTGAGGATGTCCGTCTGTGTGTCTGGAGTGATGTCCATGACCTCCATTGCATGCTGGAGGGTGGGTGGGAGGGAAGGAGGGATGGGGAGGATTTATATTACGTCATAATGATGTAACCTTAACACCAGTTTGGACACGAATCAATCCCCCCACAATAAAGGTGTCAACGGTTTTGCATTTTTAGTACGCAACTTAGTGGAAGAAAAGACAAACCAACTATACTTAGTAGTTGGACTACAGTTGGAGTATGGAATAGTAAGATACTCTACCTTGCTTCACCTATTCTTTCGATCTTACCAAATCATTATCTCCCCTCCATCAATCCCTTCGACTACTGTGTGAAGTATGGAATAGTAAGGTCCTCTATCTCGCTGCACCCTATTCCTATCTCTCCTCCATTTTGCTGTGCCTTTATCAATCCCCCCACAATAAAGGTGTCAATGGTTTTGCATTTTTTATACGCACCTTAGTGGAAGAAGAGACAAACCAACTATACTTAGTACTTTGACTACTAGTGAAGTATGGAATAGTAGATACTCTATCTCGCTGCACCTACTGTACAATTGTTTCCCCTCCAACATTACAGCACACTTACTGGGAAGTTAGCTACTAACCAAAGTGTCGGCAAACTCCTTCTTGTCATCAGTTCCATCGACGGTGTATGTCCCACTCTGGTTGAGATACCAGTAGTAGTCCACGTTAGCTATCCCCAGAGTTTCTGACGAGAGGAAGAGGAGGGGGCAGAGGGAGAGGAATAGGAGGAGGCAGAGGTAGAGGGAGAGGAGGAGGCAGAGAGAGAGAGAGAGAGCAGAAAGAGAGAAAGAATGGGGAAATAATGAAGGAAGAGAGGAAGAGGAGGGGCAGAGGGAGAGGAATAGGAGGAGGAGAGGAGAGAGGAGAGAGAGAGAGCGAGGAGAGAGAGAGGAGCAGAGAGAGAGAAAGAGAGAAAGATGGGGAGGGGGGAAAATAAATGAAGGAAGAGAGGAAGGAGGAAATATAATAAATGAAGAGAGAGAGATGGAGGAATGAGAGGAAGAGGTGGGAAGGAGAGAGAAAGAGAAGAGAGCAGGAAAAATAAGACAGAACATGTACGTGTTCTTCATTTCGGCCGCCCACACAAGAGAGGAGGTAAGAGCACACGGAACTATACTGTCCTCCTCACCCTTCATCTCAGCATCAGCTCCGGTGATGAGTTGGTAGAAAATGTGGAAACATCTCTCCCCGTCTCCCTGACCGACCACTCTGGACTACGCACAACAATTACAACACCCATCAAAAACACACACACAACACACACACAACAGTTAACATAGTGGAAACACTTTAGCAATCGTTGACAGCAAACAGTAAGCTACTACTGGCCTGCACACATTCCAAATTCCTTAACCCCGAGATCATCTGTGAACATTTATTCTTAGATTTTTGGGCAATGACTACGTACTTTGTAGCTATTTGTGAGTGGGAATGCAAGTGTCAATGGAAACGCATGTGTTCTTCCTCGTACGTTTCCCACAATACGGCAGCTACGTATTTAGCAGAGAGCACACGAACACTGTTTTCAGCTCACCTTTTTCCAGCAGAAAGTTGGAGATTTTGCCGCCGTCAGGCTGACCTCCGCGAGAAAACTGGATCTCGAAATACTTGCCCTGCAGGGACGACAGAACACGAGTGTGGGGAATAGTGACCGCTATAACAAGGTTATAGTGAAGATTGAACGGGTAATCATCAGTGGGACCTCCGAATATTGTTTTCATTATTCGGAGGTTTTCTTTGTTGAGAGGTATGTGTACATAATGGTAAAGTCAGTTGGTACATGGGAATAAGTTCATTATAGACAGGTTTTCACTGTTGGGGGAGTTTGTATCGGAGGTTCCACTGTACATCAGTGTTTTAGGAGCAAATTCAGGAGGAGGGTTGACTGACTGCTTGCCACGCATGTATCACACAAACCATATACGTCTGTAAAGGAGGGGGATCCCATCTGGTGCCCGACTTTATAGCTTAACCCCTGATACACTATGACATCGTGAGCGAACAGGAAAGTAGAAAGGAGGGGAGAGCAGGAACAAAAAAGAGGAGAGAAGAAGGAGAAAGAGGGAGGAAGGAGAAATGGGGAGGAAGTGGAATTGAGAGAGAAATGGGGGAGGAAGTGGAAGTGAGAGAGAAAGGGGGAGGAAGTAGAAGTGAGAGAAAAAGCTCACAAATCTGCTGGAGTTGTTGTTTCTGACTGTCTTGGCATTGCCAAAGGACTCCAGTAGAGGGTTGGACTCCAGAATCACAGCCTTCACTCTCTGTGGTGAGGGAGAGGAGAGAGGCTGAGAGGGGCGGGTGGGAGGAGGAGGAGAGGAGAGGGAGGAGTGGTGGAGGAGGAGGAGGCAAAAGGAATTAATTATCCCGTGGACGATATGAAAAGAGCTGTGTGTGTGGAATACATAGAGTCATAGTTTAAGCCACACCCACAAAAGCCTAAATCGATTCCATAACATGGAGTGAAATGTCTAGCGACTGAATAGCTCTCTCGGCTGCAGCTTCATTTGTGTGCACCCTCTCGCTCGCGCAGAGGCGATGATCTACCAGGCTACACTCTTGAAACGCCCACTCTTTACACACGTTAGTTACGTAGTTTCCATGATTATCGTGTTACCTGACATTAGGACCGCCTCCGGACACCTTGGCAATGTACTGCATGATGAACTTGGCAGCCACCGTCTTCCCTGCACCACTCTCCCCACTGAAAAAGAGACCACGCACCCAAATCACTGACTGTGTTGTACAGACATTTCTTAAGCTACGAAGTTTTTTCACTTAAAGGTTTTTCGTTTGGTTCACAATATGCCAGTGACCAGTGAGATCACATGATACTTTGCAGCATAACAATTCTCTGTGACTGCGATGTCACATGACATGTCACACGACGTGCCACGGAAAGCGACGACTGTAACGTCATTTTGCATCATAGTACAGTTCACACTATAGTCCAGCAACTTCGCACTGTGTCTGATGTATGGTTGAGCAGGCTTAAATGTATCTGACAACAATGAGGTAACAAGGCATAGCAAACGAAGTCAACTGAACTGCAACTCTTCTTTAGCAAAAAAGAAGAGCTGCTCTGGGTGAGATTTGAACAAAGCCAACTGAACTGCAACTCTTGTTTAGCAAAAAGAAGAGCTGCTCTGGTGAGATTTGAACAAAGCCACTGAACTGCAACTCTTCTTTAGCAAAAAAGAAGAGCTGCTCTGGGTGAGATTTGAACCCACGACACTCTGCTGTCTAGGCGAGCGCCCTACCAACTGAGCTACCAGGGCAACTCAGCTGGTAGGGGTTCGAATCTACAACACAACATAACACAAAGATAAACCTCAAAGCACTGTGCTATGGTACAGTATACTCTCACTCAGTGTATTAGGTATGTTAGTATATCTGACCTGATGATGACACACTGGTTCTCATTCTCTATCAACATGTTCCTGTACATGTTGTCAGAGAGCGCCCATATATGGGGAGGATTCTCGTAGGACGCCTGCATAAACGCACACACACAGCATCAACAGTGAATGAAACATTAGGGATTTTTCTGGGAGGGGGAGACAAGGACAATATGCTTCCCCTGAGTATTGCTTTGCCTCCTTTGTACTATGGCTGATACTAATACTATGGCTGATACTAACATACCTAATACTATGGCTGATACTAACATACCTAATACTATGGCTGATACTGACATACCTAATACTATGGCTGATACTAACTTACCTAGTACTATGGCTGATACTAACATACCTAGTACTATGGCTGATACTAACATACCTAGTACTATGGCTGATACTAACATACCTAATACTATGGCTGATACTAACATACCTAGTACTATGGCTGATACTAACATACCTAATACTACGGCTGTGTATCGAAAACAAAAACAATTCGATGCAGGAAAAGTGTCTCCGTAACTTAATACGTGCTACACGTGTGTATGTATTGCTACTCTGAACCGAGAGTACAAACAAAGCCAAACAAGGAAAAGGAACTGCACAAACAAAGGGGACTAATGCCACCTCCTAGCCTTCCATTGATCTGCTGAATGGCACGACACGACAGACAAACAGTTTCAGAGGATATTATATACAAAGTTGTACACACACGAGATCGTCTGTGTATCGGTCCCCCTTGCTGTGTAGTCCACCCACTAACGTATCGGTCCCCCTTGGTGTGTAGTCCACCCACTAACGTATCGGTCCCCCTTGGTGTGTAGTCCACCCACTAACGTATCGGTCCCCCTTGGTGTGTAGTCCACCCACTAACGTATCGGTCCCCCTTGGGGTAGACCGCTGGAAGAATGTGTTAGAACTTTAACCAAAGCAGTGCATCCTTAAAGTCCTCTAAACTGCGTGTTGTAACTATCAGAGCCAAATTACAGCTCGCACGTGAAAGGTATAAAGGCAGACAAGTATATACCATTAGTGTGTTACGGAGACTGAGGAGGACAGAATGTATGCATGTATCTAGTCATACATGTCATTTGCCTAGGTATATCCAACAAATGTTGCAGTACCCAGACAGGACAGCATTCACCCTTACAGGGCTCATGCTGTCCTGTCTGGGCACTGCAACATAATATATATACAAACGGGGTTCAATGTAACTAACTGCAGTCTCACCGCACACTGGTATATCTCCACCTCCTTGTCAGTGAAGTAGGGCATCTGTTTGAATGGGTTGACAGAGATCAACACAGGACCAATGTAGGTCTGTCGGGATGGTCAAGGAAATTATCCACACACAGACAAATACATCATCATTTCAGCTCACGATAGCCTCATAAGGTCTCAATGTTACCCAGCGTAGTACGTGGCATACACGTATATACACTACCGCAACTGGAGGGAGTAAATCACTCAGGCTGTATAGGGTATGGCTTGGAATCATAATGTCCATGGTTTGATGTATTGTGTCAATGCAGGCAATATCAATGACACTTAGGGCAACACCTTCTCCAAGGAAATAAGAGTTGCTCTGGGTGGGATTCGAACGGCAGGCAGAGCACTCTACCCACGGATACCGGGGCAGCTCCCATAAGACATCAATACACAGGAAGAGGGCAGAGCATAATAATTATTACAGTCGAGTGTTGGCGGATAATGTGCACGGTTCGAAGTATATAGGCAAATGCAAAGCAAACAGTTAAACTACACACAGGACATTAATCCATGTACACACACACACACACACATTCAAAGAAAGGAAGTGCACCTTCACATAGATATAACTCTTAACGTATCTTCACACCTATCCACACAGTAGTACATGGCCTAGAGTATAAAGCTAGCACAGCTATATAAGGCTATGCCTCACACAATAGAGAAGAGTTAGTAGCAAAAATGAGTAGAGCACGCAGGCAGGGGATGGAGTTGCTATATATGGTATACTCGCTCAAATAGAAAAGAGATTGTGGCACAAACGAAACCAAAAATGACTCTCCAAATGAAGGACAACATACTAATACATTAAGGGACGATTTACGCCCTCAAAGTGTCCCTAATTTAGAGATTTATTTGTATACAAAGCACACGCACACACACACACAGGCAGGGGAAGTTTGGCTACTATAAACCGATGGTAGTGGAAACGCAGCTAAATAAGGACCCTCTGAGGAGGCAGTAGGAGTCAGGAGAGTGACGGGAGAGGCACTGTGCTCTAGGCTTCCCACACATACAGGCAGACCTTACTTCCATGTCTAGTGTCAACACAAAGCCTGGGTATGCCTTCCAGGAAGAGTTGTGGTACAATGAAGCCTCAGAATAAGGGACACATTGGGGGACACGTTGGACGCGCCCTTTACTCAGAGGCCGCCCTTGATTATTCAGAGGTATGTACAATTGGCTCGCCATAATACTTATGTGACAGGCACGGCACATACTGTTATGCTTTACATGATTTTAAATACACTCATAAAAAATTTTTGCGTTCGCTCACCAAAAATGTGTTACTTATTACACTAATGTATTAGAATGGGGCAGAACCCTTGTTAAGTCCTTTATCCAGGGTCTCCTTTGGAGGTCTGTATGGTGGTAGAAAGAGGAGCTGAGAGGTCTCCTTTGGAGGTCTGTATGGTGGCAGAAAGAGGAGCTGAGAGGTCCCCTTAGGAGGTCTGTATGGTGGCAGAAAGAGGAGCTGAGAGGTCCCCTTAGGAGGTCTGTATGGTGGCAGAAAGAGGAGCTGAGAGGTCCCCTTAGGCGGTTTTACTGCTGTAAGAGGAGCTGAGACTGGTGAGGGAGGGAACTAGTGGCTCTGAGTCTCCCACTTCCAACTCTCACTCTTCCTCCTCTTCACACCACTTGACTCAAGAGCCACTCAATAACACCACCACTGTGATGGCTGAATACAGTGAGGGGGCCAATTACTTCGTTCAAGAGAGAGCTGGGCTACTTTGAACTCAAGCCCACGGCAGTCTTTCTTCCTTCTGAACTACCAAGTCAGCTTAGTAGACAGAGGTAATAAACGCATGTATGCAGTTGCTCATTTCCATAGACCAAATGTTAACATCTTACGTGTGTAAAGGCCACCTGTTGGTACGAAAGGTAGAGTTTGTGTGTTTCCATTCTGTGTATGTGTGTGTGTGGAGGAAAGTACGGTTGAACTGAACAACTAATCCCACAATGTTGCAATGCAACCGACTGCCTTGTAGCATTCGTGCGTTCACATAGGAAATGTTGTGTGCGTGTGTGCGTGCGTGCATGTGTGATGTGTGCTGTGTGTGTGTAACCAGAGAAAAGTACACATAGTTTTTGGCTAGGACACGAGTCTACAGTTTCTCTGTCAACTAACCTCAGCCCTTGCAGAGCCCTTAATCCTCCACACACACACAGTCCTATTTCCACACATCACGTACGCATGTTGCACGCAATGCGTGAGATTCCGTGTGACTATATATAAAACAAACACTCGACCTCAAAAGCCAACATTCCTTGCCAGCAAACACAATTCCAACGTGTCATTCTATCCTGCCCCTAGTTGTTCCTCTCTTTTGGTGGCCTTACACCAGCGGTAGCAAATTAGGAATTCGTTCATGGGATAACATACACACTGTATATATACAACATTAATTGTCAGATCTCCATAAAGTGAATGAAACATACGTACGCCCTGCAGTACTGATCCGTCATATATGGCAGTTGTTAGTGCTATTACTTTCTGTACTACTAACTAAACAGCTATATATACGTACTATAGCTGGAAATTTGGTTCAGAGTTGGCGTGGACTCTAGCAGCTGAACACACTCTCCCCAACCAAAACACTTGGAAAACACAACAAAATCCTGAAAGCCCAGATAGAAACAAAAACCAGGACCCCTTGTGAACTCCATAACTTCAAGGGTTACTCCAGACACAAAACGAAGAACAAGAAAAACTATCTGCTCTGCATGGATCTGTACACCAAGAGGCTATAAAAGCAGAGGTAGAAAGGTGGCCTTGCGCGTACCAAGTACTGTAAAAAGCATCTCTTCTACCGTCTATCTTTCTTTCTCTCACAGAAAGAGACAGTAGCACCGAGGATAAAGAGAGAGAAGGGCCAATGCTATTGAGCTGGTATGTACAAAGATAGTTGGAAGGTCTCTATCTCTCTTCCTGTCCTTCAATCCGGCTGTCTGCCACCCTCTCGTGCACGCAAACACCGCGACGAGGTCACGAGGCAAGCAAACAACACAGCTACACAGTGCGTCCCTCGGCAGAAGGGAGAGGCGTGTCGTTATCCATGTCATGTGTGCCCCCCACAATCAACCCTTACACAGTCAGAACCGCACCAACTGGCGTCCATAAAAGGAGCTATTCCGTGTGGCACAGAACTCTGGGCAGCCATCCTAGTGAATGGAACATAAACAGTTGTGGTCATGGGTGGGTGAGTGGGTGGGCCTTCCTTGTTCACCATCACTAGTATATCGTATCGTCTGTAGCCACCGCATTATAATGCTCCGTATGAACACCCGCATTGACATCTATTAACCATACTTTCACTGGAATACTACATCGGAATCCTTAATAAGGACACGTATGTATAAGGACAACTTTTCTTTCCCCCAAGAACGTTATCTTGCTTAAAGAAACGCGAAAATATGGACACTGCTATCTCGTGTCCCACAGTGACTGGATTAGAGGGGTTCCACTGTAATAAGGAGGGGTCCATATTAGTGAGGTGTCCGTATTTTGAGGGGTATATATATATACCAATACAAAGTGTCCGGCAGGGACACTTACTTGTACTTATAAACCCAACATTACACACTTGGCTCGAAGATTGTTTACTGTTCCATCTCTGAAATTGTCTCCTTTCATATCAACACTGCTTCATTCCCAACACTACAATTGTATACTTCTATAATAATACATCAGCACACAGAGTGTACGTATGTAATGGTGTGCATTGGGGCGTGCATTAAAGGGCACTGCACCCATCACCAAGTTGAAAGTCCCCCCCATTTACACTAACCAACTGCCACATAAGGAGATGACATTTTCAAACAGTGCGTGCAGTGGACTGCAAGCAGATTATGTAAACAATGTAGGAGCACTGGTACATGTACAGTAAACGAGGAAACATTCTACTAGTAACAAGAAAATATGAGTAGGTATATAACAACAAATACATGCATGACCACTACATACATTGTGCAGCTTTTAACCCTTTCACTTGAAACGTTTCAAACTTGTTTCCCCATCTGGTAGTTACGTACATGTCACTCAGTAAGGCGTACTGCACACATAGGTTCCCCCACACATAGGTTCCCCCGCACATAGGTTCCCCCGCACATGGACACACTCATACATAGCATACAGTTGAATGGCACTCATCATGAAGCATACATATTATTGATGCAGTATATAGCATAGTGGAGCTGTACATTGAAGTATTGTGGAACCGTACGTATGGAACAGTTCGTATCATGAACACGTATCATGTAAGCCTACAGCAGGGCAGTATCTTGGAGCGTATAATAAGCATAATAGTGGGACGGTCTTGAAGCACAGTGTGGGGTGGGGACTACAGAGCATGCTGTTTATGGAAGAGACGCGGCTTCAAATGGACCATGAATGGACGGCGACACACGACCATACAAAAGAACTGACAAACAGAGCAATAGACACTACACCACAAGCACCAGTATTCATGCTCTGCTGTGTGCTACGGACACATACGGCCCTAAGACTTGCACGATAACTACCAGTATCTAAAATGGGTATGAACTGTGTGCGGATAAAATAGCAATGCCAAATGACGCACGGCTCAGAAAGGGCACTGTTAAAACACACACACACAAGATGCATCATACGAGCATTAAGCCAGTAATGCTACTAGAACGAATGCAATGCTTTCTTGGCTAACAGTTTGATTCATTCTTCGTATAAAATTACGGTATGTGCCGGTTGGAGTGATATGGAAAAATCCCACATTCAGACGACCAGACAGACAATAATAGTACATGTAACCACTGCCAGAAACCCCGTCACTTGAACTAAGTAGGAAAAGCTCTTGAGATAACAGCACCCACAAGTAAGAGGAAGTTATGGTGCGACAGTAGTCTCATCCAAACTTTCCTTGCCATGTGTGTACAATATACAGTGCAGTCATTGCACATGTGGGTATATATATGATCCTATGATCATTAAAGTGAAGTAGGGCTGGGAATGAGGCTAGTGTAGCTTGGTGATTGGGTTATGGCGTAATTAGGGATACAAATATGAGGTCATCGAGGTATCTTTTCTTGAGATTCTCGACGATGGCAGATTCCTGGATCTTGACCAGAAGAACCATGTCCTCCACCCCACTGGCCTTCTTACTTCGACTCTGCCAGTGGTACGCCTGGGGAGGGAGAGAGGGAGGGAGGGAGAGAGGGGGAGAGGGGAGGGGATGAGGGAGGAAAAAGATAACACCACAACAAGAAAAAAAAAGCAGGATATGTCTTAAAGAGCACACTGGAACATACATGCATGCAGTAAGGGCAGTGTATCTGGAGTTGTTGGAAAGCAGTGAACTGGGACTAGGCAGTGTATCTGGAGATAGTAGATAGCATTGTTGGAAAGCAGTGAACTGCAGCCACTGAGTATATACACACAATACAGCTAACGAAAAATGCAATGTTGTCTATAAGGAATACTCAGGTAGCAGCACTTTCAATGAGTGTACTGGTGACTACAAATGTAGAGAGCATGAAGACTGGGAACACAACCCTGTTCAATGGGCCTATTGAAAATCTAGTGTAAGTGTAGCTCCATATTGTACACTGTATAATAGAATATAATATCTCTGTCAGTCTTACTCTGGTCTTCAATGCTCACTAACAGTATCTAATTGACAGAGGGCTTCAAGCTAGCTAGACGAATTAGCATAGAAGAATGCAAAGGAAGTCACTTACTTAGTCAAATTTCTTGCTCGAGTTAGTCACGCATGTAGGTGAGCCTAAGACGCGTATCCATGTGCATAAAACGTACGACCTCTACACAGTGGACCCTCTCAGTTAGCTCCTAACACTCACCATGACTGCGTGCGACACTGGACGGCAGAAGCAGACCAGAAACGACACACCACACTGTCTTCTTCTCCCGCTCTTACAATATCTTATATCACGCAACACCACAAGTCTCTACTGCCGAATGGAGCACTGCAGACGGAAGGATCGACAGCTATTCTCTACGGGCCAGGTGAGGTCGAAAGCTGCATGGATGCAGACCGCATGAAAGGGACGGCGGAGCTGCCGAAACGGAAGAGTGGGCACAAGATTTCCGTATATGGGATTAGAACTTCCCGTTTTCGGCTCTCCGTAAACCTTCGCACACTTCGCGTAGCCCAAACACAGGGGAATACCCAAGAGTCACGTAATTTCCTGTTTTGCGTGTTGGCTTTCGCGCATGCACGTAACTCTCGGAAGAAGTCAGTACAAGTCACGAAGCTATAGTTAGGTCGTGTGTTGAGCCAGGAAGGCCAGAGCATGTCGACAGGCGAAGAATTGCTGATGAAGGGCACTCTGCATGGAAGCATAGCGGGAATAACTCGCAAAGACGTAAGTTGGCCCTATTTTGTATGTAGCTATGAACAGCCGCGTGTGAGGACCTTATCCAGGTATACCCCGCTCAAGTGTTATAGGTAGCTATGCTACTAAACTTGGCTATCTTGTACCATACGATCAGGTGTGAAACTAGAGCGATCCGGGAGGCGTCCGATTACGCATGTAGTTATGTTTGGCGTTCCAAAATGGTGGAATTGGTAGTTGCCACTGAGTCTCTGCGTGTTTATACAGTCAGTAGGACATCCAACGCAGTTGACGTGGTGGTGCTGCTGGCAACTATAGCTTTGCGTGGTGTGGTTGTGGTGCGTGCAGAGCTAGCTTGTAGATCATTCATGTACGGCTGTAAATGTCTTGTAGCTTCTGTGAGAAGATGTGAATTGCATGTACATTGTGTATATAATAAACATCTTGGTACGACTGTTGTACTACCTGAGGCATGACCACCAGTGTACTTCCCAAAGGACGTGTGCCAAGCAGTTCAACATTCCAGTTAGCCGGCATTGCTGTACGTCGAGCAATTCACGATAGCTTGGGTGGTTGTGGGAAAGGAAAGCACTGCTTTAGGGTGCCAGGGGGAGGCAGTGTACACAAAAGTGGCACCACCACGTCTCTTTTATGAGCATGTGTGCGTGTCCGTCAGCCTGAAAGAGAAACCCGCTGTACGCATGTTCATAAACCGCACTGGTTATCGTAGGCTCTGAAACAACAGATCTACCTGTCCCTTGGTGTGTCCCAACACAGCTAGCTAATAATATCGTAGTCTGGTTGCACCAGTTGTGAAGGGAAATTACCGGCCTACATTAGAGGCACCAACTCTAACTGGTATGTAGTTCCTTTGCTTGCCACTTTACTGCAATGTCATTCTGACTTCATTTTCATGTGCTAGAGGGGGAAATGAAGCGAGCGTTACTATACTGTATATACCTATGGACACGTGTATGTACACGTGTATGTACAGTACTTGTAAATATGTGGTTCATGTATAGAACTATTATATAGGTGTGGAATTATACCCATCAAATCCCTTGACAGTGAGGATTTTAAAACACAGCACACGAGACAGCTTACTGGGGGCAGCATCACCTTGTCGGGGACAAAACAGTCTTTTTTCCAAGAAATGTATTATTTTCCCAAAACACTGACCTCTTAGTATTGGACGATGTACATTGTAGATATAAAAATGGTATGTGTAACGCACGGTGTGTTGTTATGAACGAACAGTCTATTCTTTCTCTTGCAGTACGTGACGTTTTCTGTCAGGGCACACGTATGTAACGGTATATTGGTGGGGGTTAAACGCTCTGCATGTTTGGCATAGTTGGCAACAGTGCTGCTTTCACTATAGCCCCTATGTGCCCACTCAGCAACCGTGGCCGTACATCTCATATGGACACACACACGTGTGACGTGTATGCTAAAAACCAGGATTCGTTGTTTAACTGTACGGGCCTATTACGTTAGTACATTGTGACTTGGCAAAAATATGGTAATATTTCCAAAATATTTCCATAATTTGCCAAGTAGCAAGTACTAATCCATACCTACACATCAGTTTAAAACCATTAATTGGCATTTATTCTGATTCGTAAGCCTGTACATGGGCCTGTAAGGTTGCAGATAACGGTGTCACGTTTGTGCTAGTAATTATGAATGGCTGGAGGCTACTTTACTATATACCACAGGATATGTTGATGAATCATTACACCTTTGACCTCAACAAGCGCGACTGCAGTTGTTACATTTTTGTGTGTGTGGAATTGCAAGTACAGATATGTCATAATTAGAAGGCTTTACGCATACACCCACACAATGTCCTCATACGTGAGCTTGCGGTGGCTATTGGCCCACTCACAGCTGTACAGACTGGCTTCACTCTCAGTAGTGGTGTGTAGGTTGAACTCACTATTTATATCACATCACAGGGGTTTATTTACTGTTCAGAGGTTCAGAGGGGCAGGGAAGCTCACTCGCTTAGAACGCAGAGTGTCATGGGTTCGAATCCCACCACGGGCAGTTTTTTCTTTTCCTTGAAAAAAGGTTGTCCTGGGTGTAGTTGTGTTGTTTGCCTCTGCTTTGCCTTGACCTCGTTGGGTTCGAATCCCACCACGGGCAGTTTTTTCTTTTCCTTGAAAAAAGGTTGTCCTGGGTGTAATTGTGTTGTTTGCCTTTGCTTTGCTTTGCCTTGACCCCGTTGATGACAATGCATACAATAGACACTTGTACACACGTACCAAGTTTGTTTGTTTGGTGGGAGAACTACCGTAGCTGTTGCTGCCATCTGCAAACACTGCCCCTTGTATTATCGCCGTCCTGGCAGGCACCTCCGCCACTTGTTGTTTGTGACCAGACCACAGTGCTCAATATTGGTGAGGTGTTCTTTGGGGATGGTTTACCCGTTTTCTTTCAGTTTGTACACTTTGAAATTTCTACCAACACTTTGACGTACATAGGTTTATTGTTGGGTGTGTGTGCTGGTTAACCAAAACCTATCTAAACAGCGTAGAGCTACATAATGTTATTTGTGGACCCACACACTGATCCAGGCTACTGTGTTTTTCCCTCCGTCTCTCCCTTCCCTCCTCTTTCCCGATCCTTCTAAACAGCGTAGAGCTACATAACGTTATTTGTGGACCTACACACTGATCCTGTGGCTATTGTGTTGTGCAAATCTTTGTTCTTCCCTCCGTCTCTCCCTTCCCTCCTCTTTCCCGATCCTTCCGCCTCCTACCCTCCTCCCCCTTATCACTGCAGTGGTCTCTATTGTACCTGGAGTTGACCACCAGACATATCCATGTGTTCGAAGGACATGAAGACCCTCGTGCTGCTAGAAAGGTACATACTATAAACATTAAAGATGAACAAAACTCCCTATCATAGCCCCATACATCCTATGCATGATGCTAGGTATGTACCATGCTCATCCCTATATACTAAGTACTACACCTTACTTAGTGATGCTGCTGTTCCCAACACTTGACTCTGTACTGAATGAACAAAACTCCCTATCATAGCCCCATACATCCTATGCATGATGCTAGGTATATACCATGCCCATCCCTATATACTAAGTACTACACCTTACTTAGTGATGCTGCTGTTCCCAACACTTGACTCTGTACTGATGAACAAAACTCCCTATCATAGCCCCATACATCCTATGCATGATGCTAGGTACCATGCTCATCCCTATATACTAAGTACTACACCTTACTTAGTGATGCTGCTTTCTTCCAAAAACCACACTTGACTCGTACTGATGAACAAAACTCCCTATCATAGCTCCATACATCTATGCATGATGCTAGGTACCATGCTCATCCCTATATACTAAGTACTACACCTTACTTAGTGATGCTGCTGTTCCCAACACTTGACTCTGTACTGAATGAACAAAACTCCCTATCATAGCCCCATACATCTATGCATGATGCTAGGTATATACCATGCCCATCCTATATACTAGTACTACACCTTACTTAGTGATGTTGCTGTTCCCACACTTGACTCTGTACTGAAGAACCACACTCCCTATCATAGCCACATACATCCTATGCATGATGCTAGGTACCATGCTCCATCCCTATATACTAAGTACTACACCTTACTAGTGATGCTGCTGTGTCCCAACACTTGACTCGTACTGAATGAACAAAAACTGCCCTATCATAGCCCATACATCTATGCATGATGCTAGGTACATGCCATCCTATATACTAAGTCACACCTATACTTAGTGATGCTGCTGTTCCCAACACTTGACTCTGTACTGAATGAACAAAACTCCTATCATAGCCCATAACATCCTGCATGATGCTAGGTACCATGCCCATCCCTATATACTAAGTACTACACCTTACTTAGTGATGCTGCTGTTCCCAACACTTGACTCTGTACTGAATGAACAAAACTCCCTATCATAGCCCCATACACCCTATGCATGATGCTAGGTACCATGGTCATCCCTATATACTAAGTACTACACCTTACTTAGTGATGCTGCTGTTCCCAACACTTGACTCTGTACTGAATGAACAAAACTCCCTATCATAGCCCCATACATCCTATGCATGATGCTAGGTACCATGCCCATCCCTATATACTAAGTACTACACCTTACTTAGTGATGCTGCTGTTCCCAACACTTGACTCTGTACTGAATGAACAAAACTCCCTATCATAGCTCCCATACATCTATGCATGATGCTAGGTACCATGCTCATCCCTATATACTAAGTACTACACCTTACTTAGTGATGCTGCTGTTCCCAACACTTGACTCTGTACTGAATGAACAAAACTCCCTATCATAGCCCCATACATCTATGATGCTAGGTATGTACCATGCTCATCCCTATATACCAAGTACTATTGTACTTAGTGATGATAACTTAAAAACTACTGCGATGCCATCTCCCTCACCAATCACTGATCCGCAAATATTTTCTGAATGGAAAAATTTGTGCTCTACGCGGTAGCTTCCTACCAGTATGATCCGTTCACTGTAGCTCTGAATACACAATGTATGGTATGTGTATGTAATAGGTGATACGTAGTATAACAAGTGCAAGATGTATGGCCACCACCAAAGTGATTCACAGATCATGAATTACACACAATCTCCCTCTCCATGTGACGTCTGTTTACCATTTGTGGTATCCCAAATATTATGCATGTGCATACTGAGTGGGTGCTTACTGCTGTTGTCGAGGCTTTATCTTGTGTTGTTCATTTGAGACTGACTGAGCTGGCCTGGGCTAGTAACTCTGCTGGTGGAGCACTCTGCCAAGACTGCCAGAGCAGTGGCGGATCTAGGATTTTGAAAGGGGGGGGTTCCGCTGTCCAGAACGTTTTCGACTACGCTCATGTGCACGCGCACGAGGCCGGCGATGCATGCGCGCAAAACGACAAAAAGGGGTGTTCCGTGACACCCAAGGACCCCCCTGGATCCACCACTGCAGAGGGTTGTAGGCACCAAGGGAAGCTAGTTTTACGGGTGTAGTTTGCCTCATTGTTGTTTACACATACTACAGTGTGTACCTGCGTGGTCTACGTGGGCAGCTTGCTCACTGTTTTCTCAGTCCCACGGATATGCTGGTTATTCAAGTGCACGTAATATGTCAACACCCCACACACACACGTTTTGTCTCTCAACATCGTAGTGAACAAGTATAGCGTAGTGTGAACTGCTATATATGTTCACAACTGCAGTAGTAAGACAGATTTACGTGGTTTGCGATCTGCTTTTTTGCTCTTTTAAAATGGTGTCCCTTTGGAGTAAAACATTTCATGATTGTACTCTGTCCTGTCCCTCTCCCCCTCCCCATCTCTCTCCTCTTCCTTCCTCTCTCTTCCTCCCTCTCTCCTCTCCCTGTCTCTTCCTCCCTCTCTCTTCCTCCCTCTCTCTTCCTCTCTCTCTCCTCCCCCTCTCAGCATCTCCGTAGTCTTGAGGTAAAAGATTATGGCAGTGTAGTTCCAGAGAAGGCAGTGAAATTCACTCTCGTTGGAACCGATGGCGGTAACTGTACATTCAAGGTGAGAGCTACCATACTTCAGTACTTACTTCAGTTATAATACAGTACCATGCCACTACAGTATACAGGTAGTAATGTGAGGAGTTGCCAAGAGTGGCACTATTCACGCAACAAGCACACACAATGATCCATCTCTCTCTCCTCTCTCTTGCTCACTGCTGCAGTGTGACACAGAGTACACGAAGCAAAAGTGGATCCAGGCACTCAAAAAGGCCATTGAAATTGTGAGTTTTCTTTCTGTGTAAAAGTACGAATGCTTGGAACTTTTGTTTTTGTGTGTGCACCCAGCATAATCAACTGATGGAATTACCACCTAGAATTTTTGTTAATGGCTAATTTCCGTAATTTTTACTCATGTTACAACCTGTGTCAAATCAAGACTCCACTGCAATCACAGTGTCTGCACCTAGATCATTATACATCGGTCCATAATACTATGTTTCCGACTACCCCTGTTGCTGTTGTGTTGTCACATGATGATCATGTGAGAGCTGTTGGTGTGTGTGTGATCTGTCCTGACGAGAGGAAGACTGTGTGGCTACGAGGCAGCCACAACTACTGTTGTCCACCAGCCCTGCCCAGTCCCTGGCTCTGACAGTGGCGGCAGTAGCCGCCCGAGACAGTGGGATTGCTCTGTGAGACTCAGCAAGGTCTAAGCCCCTCCCATTTCACACAGGGTCACCTCTATACAATGTTTCAACGGCATCCGACAGCAGTTTAGACCACGCCTGCAGTACATTTACATGCCTTAGTTAGGTGTAGTGGTGCCTCAGTGGTATGGGGCCATAGAGCCACAATGCCCAAGTCCAATAGCGTTCTTGCATTCGATAGGAGAAGAATAAGTATGACAAAACTCATCCCTATCATCGCTCCATACCATCTATGATGCTTGGTACCATGCCATCCTAATCTATCGAATACGACGTACTTAGTTATTATGTAGGGTGTCTGTCGTGCAGCGGCCCCCAGTATCAGTTCGAGTTTTTCCCAGGTGAATTATGAGTCAGCTCGGTGTCTCATTTCTGCAGTGTCTGCACTAAATATTTACTCCGCAGTTTACATCAGCATGTCCATTGCACGGCCGCAGTACATAAGGGTAGAAATTGTGCATATTATCTGTGAAGTTAGACACATTTATGAGATGAGGCACGTCAGCCCTGCTGCTGATTACCATTAAGTAACCCGTGGGTGTGGGACGCGTCGTGAAAGATCCGTCTCTCTGCCAATATCTCCTCTCCTCCCCCTCTCTTTTTCTTTTCTCTCTCTCTCACCTCCCTCCTCTCCTCCCCAACACCAGAGTGTCATGGACAGTGGGCTGGAGTCAGTGACAACGACCAGGTGTGGGACAACAGACCACCACAGTGGTCCTGAGACTCACCAGAGAGCCCCATCAAGATGACAGGTATGTACACCTTCCAAGTATACTTACTTGTATAACATACCAGAACTCACTCTATAGTGTAGTAGTTGTGCATACCCACCCCCCTCATCTTGGCCTGAGCACACTCATGCAGTGCTATGAAAGTTATAAGCCTTTAGATATGCGCTGACAGTTTCAAACTTCACTATGCTATTGTAGTAGTTGGTGCCTACGCATCATTGCTGAGCCACACTCATGTGGTGCCATGACTGTTATAAGCCTTTAGATATTCAGTGACAGTTCCTAAACACACCAACGCCACTATTCCCTATCTACACTACTTAGTAGTTGTGCATACCCCCTCATGCATTGGCCTGAGTCACACTCTGCGGTGCATGAAGTTATAAGCCTTGATATTCCGTGACAGTTTCAACTTCCCTATTACCTATTGTAGTAA